TACTCTCTTTTTTAAAAAAAACAATGTTTTTATTTATTTCCCAGAGGAAGAGAGAGGGAGATAGAGAGAAAGATAGAAACATCAATGATGAAAGGGGATCATTGATCAGCTGCCTCCTGCACACCCACACTGGGGATCGAGCTTGCAACCTGGGCATATGCCCTGACTGGGAATTGAACCATGACCTCCTGGTTCATAGGTCAATGCTCAACCACTGAGTCACACTGACCAGGCACACTCCCCTTTTTTGCTTTTGCAGGCCTTGCCCCCTATCAAGTAATTAGGTTTGACTACATGGCTAGTGTTATTCATGTAGGTTTCAGTTAAGCTAAAATCTGAATGCCTTGGGACCAAAACCAGTCTAAAAGATCACCAGACTGAAACATTATTTTTATTTAATTGGATATAAGTACACAAATGAACTATGCAGAATATCATTTTCAGTCCAAATAAAGCCCCAATCAGAACCCAAAATACTATATATCTGAGATTCTTCAGTGACTAGAGCAATCACAGCTTTTGCATAGCTTAAATAATGACATTAAGCTTATGTTTTAAAAATATTGGCCAACAACTAAGCTTCTTTGAATTAGCCTTGAACTCTACTGCCAGATATTCTATGACCAGGTATTTCTTAAGATGGGGGAGGAAGAGGAAGGAGTATGTTGTTATAATATACTTGTTTAAAAGAGTTCCCCAAATCTCAGTAAGTAGCCAATTTAGGAAGGATTTGAAGATTGGATAGTAGCTGACTTTGAGATTTCTTTTTTCTTATTTATTTTATTTATCTTCTTCATAAGGAATATGAAGCCTTTTGAAGACACAATGGAGGCAGTGTACTATAGTGGAGAGATCATGGGCTTTAAAGCCAGTTGGAACCTGGGCTTGAATTGAATCACAGCTCTGCAGCTAACCAGCTGCCTGGACTTTAGTCAAGCTTCTTAATCTTTTCTTGTCTATAAAACTTGGATATTAAAATACCCATTCCATAAGATTGTTAATGATTAAACAAGATGACACTAAGCTTAGTGTTGAACCTGACACATGGTAGAAGCCCAGTACATGTTATCTAAGCGTGAGTGCGAGGGGGGGGATAGGGGGTAACATGGGGATAAGGACACATATGTAATAACTTAATCAATAAAAATTTTTAAAAAACTCTTCCTAAATTTAACAAGTAGAGGCTTTTAATAAGTAAAACTGTGACTTGGATGAGAAAATCATGAAAATCTGTTTTAATTTTATAAATTCAGAAGCTAATCTTTGAGCACTGACTAAGCACTATGTGATTTTTTTCATGTTAAACACACAGTCCTAGCAATCTAGTGGGAGAGAAAGACATAAATAATACAGTTACAGAATATGGTAAGAGGTAGAAACACTGTCCTATTGGAATTGATGGGATAGAATAGAATTCTGATATGGTGGAGAGACATTGGAAAAGTGTCTAATGTAACTTGTCTAAGAAAGTAGATATAGAAGTTATTTTTAAGGAATAGTAGGTAAATTACAGTTTGCTTTGGGGCATATTGTCTTTAAATGTTGAAACATATTTGAGCACTCAGAAGTTTGACTTAAATAATATTATCCAAGCATATGTACATAATATAAACTACTTGGTCTTAATGTTCTTCTCGTATTTCAGTTTTTATAGGAATGAATGCATCTTGGAATCTTTTGCTATCAGTGTTGACAGTGAAATATTTTGAATACTAATTGCAGTTTTGCAAGTGAATTTCATCCAAGCTCCAAAAATATAGTTTGTGCTTCTTACCAAAATCATATGGCTCACATCCATATTTAAAGAAAATGACTTTTGGTTGTTTTTTTTAAGCTCAGGAGGAGTTACTGGAAATATTCAAACTTCCTTTTAAATGGTTTTTCTTTTATTCCAGGGCTCCTTTGTTAAACATTGGTTTCTACTGTGCTACAAATCTTTTATAAATTCTTCATAATCAAGTCCGCTGCTTAGAATCTTCTGGCATATTGGGTTTTGCTCTGTCTTTTTGTATCTCCGACTTGTATCCTTGTGAGTTCATTTCTCTAATTGTGTTGTAGAGTTTGTTGCTTAAGCCTAATTCAGAAGTGCTCTAAAGACAAAGTGTAAAATGATTGTCAAAGACTTAACTACATGTTTTCCTTTTCCTATTTCCTGTTCTTGGTTCTTTTACTTATCATTTGCATTTTTCTAATCTTGGTATCTTAAAGCTCATGATCTATATACAAAAAAAAAATAGTTACATTTGGAAGTCTAGGCCAAGGTCAGGGTCCTGTTGGCATACTGCTTGTTCACTTTAAGGACTGGCAACAATTTGAAAGACCATAGAATCCAGGAGTTAGAAAAACTTCAAAAGGTAGCTGAGTCATAGATAGGAGTATTGTAATGGAATCTTGGAATATGAAGAGTTCCAGTAACAGCTTTATCATTTAGAGGTGGCATGCCCTTTTGGACGAGTTTTTGTTTTATTTTGTCTTTGTTTTTATTTTTTGCTTTTCCAAGCTTCCATTTGCTCATCTTTAAAATGAGGATATTATCTCCCTCAGGAGGTTGTTGTGATAATTAAATGAGGTAACAGATATAAAGATATTTTTAAATTATAAAATAATTGTATAAATATAAGGAAGTAGTACCAACTTCCTGTTCCAAGCCACAGTAAAAAAAAAATAAAAAAATAAAAAAAAAATAAAATAAAAAGATGGTTTCCTTGATGTTGTGAAGAAACACTAATTCTGGGCTTCAGTAGGACTAACTGTGAACTCAGAGATGTTGAGCAAGGCATTTCTCCTCCTTGGGCATCACTTTTATTATCTATCAGATTTGATATCAGGCTAAGTGAACTCTAAAAGTTCTTCCAGTTCTAAAGATCCTAATCACTCTATAATATAATTACTAGAGGCCTGATGCATGAATTTGTGCACAGGTGGGGTCCCTCGGCCTGGTTGGCGATCAAGGCCTA